TATTTTGGGAGTCCCTATGATAAGGATTATCGTATTTTGGGGTCTCTAGGGGGTCCCCTACCTTAGGAAACTTCCAGTGCGCATGCCAGTCTAGTAGTCTCGTCTAGAATCTCAAGCTAATCGCTTCCCCCTGATAATTCAAATGACGTTCACATCCCCCCCCCTCCCTCCCATATTACATGATCCGGGCCCGAAAAATTCTTTGATTCTTTGATTTTTGGGTGGATAATTTATTGAAAGAATTAGATAAGGCTGTCTTTACAATCCTGTTACACTTCATGGAAATCACTGATTGAGAATTGGTTGCTTGCATCGATTTGCCAATTACATTGGATAATGACTGCATTTCTAAGCAATCAAGCTTCGACATTCAAGAGTTAATCGATCAATCAGCTGAATGATGAATTGATGCTTAATTAGCGACCTCAGAACCCCAATTCAGGATTTTAGGTCCCCGTACCTATTATCAGGTTGATTTGGGGGAAATTGTGGGGGGAAGGGGCTATGCAAGGGTTCTTCCGTCGTCGTGCTGTATGCGGAACCTTTGGCAAGGTTTGGAGCAAATTTTTAGGTTGCGGTTAAGGAGCTTAAATTAGGCTACCATAACATGGGTATAAAGTAAATAACGGTGTGTCATTATAGTAACTTATTGATAAATTCCTGAACAGCAACCCAGATCTTGGCTCCTGGAGCTACAAACTGTTGTCTTGTAAGGCTCGGATGCATAGCCCGGAGAGACTGCAAACCAAACGCAAGGAGCTTTAACCAGCTCTGCTGTCTAGCTTTCGGAAAGCCTTTGGAGATGCTTTGAGTATGCCATGTGTTGAAAACCATAATATCCGGACCTGTTTAGCACGGTCGGCGCCAGGATCACTCTTGACTCCCACATCCTGCCAACAGCTGCCAAGCTTTGAGCACTCCCCGCAGAGCCTCCCTTGAAACACTCATGTCGCTGAACGTCTGGTACGAGGACACCAGGCACACACATAATATAGAGAACTCACAGTACGTCACGTTCAAGTTAGCTAGAATTGCTGCGACTGGAGCTAGACACTGGCCATCGCGCAATGTGGCTACTTCAGACTTCAGAGGTCTAACTTGATGAAATGAGCAGCTCTGGCACACGAGACTCCTGCGCAGCAGCATCCTTGTTGGGGTGGCTGTTCTCGGCGGAAGCCCTTCGAAGCACACAAGTGTTGATTCCAGCTTACGCAGAGCTACAACATGCGAATTGTAGTTCATTAATCACTGCTGCTGTTGATGCAACAACAACAACTACTACTACTACTACTACTGCTGCTACTGCTACTGCTACTGCTACTGCTACTACTACAACTACTACTACAACAACTACTACTACAACTACTACTACAACTACAACTACTACTACTGCTGCGACTGCTACCCCTACTGTCAGCAAGACCATCGCTTCCGCATTGGCAGTCTGGACTGGGAGCTGACTTCTGCCCGCAGTATCGAAGTCTAAGTTCCCTTCACCCATCGCTTACTCGACCTCAACAACCCCAAACCTACCTTCCTGGTACTCTTAAACTGTATTACCCCCTGATACCCTCAGCCTTAGAAATATGTTAACACCTGCCACATCTCCACCTTCCCCAAGAAACCCTCAACCCCTAACAATCTCAACCCAAAGACCCTGCCAAACCCCAAGTACCCCCCACACAAAATCCCTAAGAATCCTTTGTCCTCGTAATTGCCTGCCCTTACTGGTTCCTTATTGAGGTACTAAGATTAAAAAAAAAACACTATAGCTATAAAATCCGACTGAATGGATGTTGAAAGAAGGGGGACACTCTATGAGATTCAACAATAATTAGAACCCTCAACCCTAAACGCTAAAGCCTCAACCCCAAACATTTAACCCCCAACTCTAAACACTCCCTTGGGTCCAAGCCTTCGAGCGCGCTCCAAAGCCGCAGCTTTCCGAGCCTTTTCCTCCTCGAAGGCCTTGGGGAAAAAAGGTGCCAACATCAAAGTTTCCATTTTCTTTTCCATTATCCCAATATAATCCCTATATAACCCTATATATTATAGTAGTTTCCATTTTCTTTTCGATTATCCCAATATAATCCCTATATAACCCTATATATTACAGTAGTTTCCATTTTCTTTTCCATTATCCCCAATATAATCCCGACCATCCTGTGAAGAATATTTGGATCATGTTGGGGAATCCAAGAACCTTTGACAAAACCTGCCATGTGGAGTGATTCTCGAAGTAGGGCACTCTGAGGGGCAAACGGATATCTGAGAATCACACAGCAATTCTTTAGGGGGGGGGCTTGGGGGTAGTTTCTTATGTATGTTCTGGGTGCTGTTGGGCTGTGAATCCAAAACTCGTTTTGTCGCCACCCCCTCTTAAATACTCTTTTGTCGCGGCTTGTTGCTACATACCCTGGCATTGTCACACAAGTGCTTGAAGCAAGCCAGGAGATTTTGTTTGCTCGCCTCTGTCGCAGAATGGCCGCCCAAGCCTGTTACGAACCCTGTGCTTTTGATTCACATTTATTTGAGAGCCTCATGAAGAAGGATGCATTTTTGAATTTCTTCAGAGTCTAGAGGGACGTGCGCGTGCTGATTTTTGATTTCCGCTTTTTGAATGCATCCAGGTTGCCTGCTTGGCACGGTCCACACCGTTATCATTGTTGGCTCCATCCTTGACATAGACATAGCTCCAAGCTCAACGCAGTCTCGCAAACCAACGCTCGCACGAAGACCGCGCCTATAAAGGAATACCCCTTGGCTCCCACGCCTGGTTCTGTGCTGCCGCGCGTGCTGCACGAGCTTTGTCCAGAGCTGCGGCCTTGACTCAAGCGGGAAAATGGTCCGAATTTCTTCTTAGAATGGAACTCCTGCAATCATACATGTCTAACTCTGTAAGAAACCCTATCCTACCTGGCTGAACCGTTGCGACAGCTGAAACTACCTGCCTTCCGCGCTTTCTCCTCTGCGAAGGCTTTTCGCGCCTTGTCTCTGGATCATTTGATTTGGACTGTGATAAGACATCACGCGTGAGAAGCTCACCCACAAACATGGCAAGCTGAGTCTGCCATGAGAAATATTCGCTACGTCCAGAAAATGCTGCATGGAAAGCTGTGCAGAGGCCGGATTGACAGAGCGAACTTGTGAAACGGTCTTAAACCTTAAGCCCACTCCGAAAACCACCCCCCACAACCCAGAAAAAACAACTTCGAAAGCCTTCTCGATGCCAGACTCCTCGGTTGGCTCATCCTCCTTGGGCTGGCCTCAAGCTCCCCCTCATTCCCCGTCAGGCCTGCTGGTGTACGTACCACCAAAATGTGATGCTGACACAATAAACAGCCCACCTCGGCCCAAGGAATTTTACCAAGTCACTGTCCTTAGCTCCGTCGTCGACGCGGACCCAAACGGCCCCATCGTTCCAGACCAGCTTTCCTTCAGCATTCAGGGTCCCTTTGTAGACTTCGCTGCCCATCTGGAAAGAGCCTTGATGTCCCCAGGGCATGGAGCAAACATAAGCGCGTATCACAGGCTTAATAAGGGCCCCTACACCAGACATAGCTTCCCGTTGCCAACTTTGTATGTTCCTTGGCACGACAACATGCAGCTCAGGGACACGTTGACTGCCCCGTGATCTTGAGGTCGAGCTGGCCCCCGTCCGGCCCATACATGCGCGAATCTTTAACCTAAAAGGAACGAGGAAGGGTTGTGCCCCTGCAGAGACTGCCCGTCAAGCCAACACTTGCATCCTTCAAGTAGCACATGCTCAACAAGCCTTGCTCGCCTGCAACCTCTTACAGTGGATCGCATGGCTCTTCCGGGTATTTGGGGCTCTAAGCGCCTCTTGGCGAAAAACACAAAACAACTCAGCCCAGTAGCTACGACCACTGTCCCTTCGTCATCTTGCCATGCTCCTGGTGGACTTAACGGCTGATCGGAGGTCATGAGAGCTGCCAAGAGGGGTTGGCGTAACATGGTAGCGGAAGGCTTCATGCATTTACGCGTTGCTACGGCGCTGATTTTCCTTCCGCTATGCGGAGGTCCACGACATGAACTTGACAGCGGGGTCTCCTGCAAACGCGCCGTCTCGTCCGGAAGTGACCATGGCTTGCGGATATGGATGCCTATTCAAGCTTGACCGAATCCATTCGGAGAGCTGCGAAGCTTGGAGATGTCTGGTCCCAGCTGAGTTGGGGTGTGCTTGAGGGTGCTAGTTGCAGTAGCATTGTTTGATCAAAATCGACATGCGCTGCACAAGTACAGGCGCTACATGTTGATGGCTTGAGGAAACATTAGCATGCCCGCAATCGCCTGCGGTGCTTTGTTCTGCGATGAGGGAGCAGCCCTGAGTCGAACAAACAGCCGCGGGCCACCAGGAGGAATCAAACCACTGAGCACTGCGTACAGTAGACGGGCTCCCTGTGCGCTGTATGGGCCATTTGCATGTCACCTGTGTACCTCATGTTCTCAGCAAGGGATGCCGGACACCTGACCCCATCCTCCCGGCAAAGAAAAGAAGCCTGTGAGCCGCCAGACTGCGGCGGAGGTGGAGGCGGAGGCTGCATCTGACTCCTGTAGCGGCGCCGTGTGGTAATGGGAAATCTGCGACGTCGCACTGAGCTTCTCGTAGGAAACTGGACTTCCCTTCTACTGGGCTGGCACACCGCATTGCATCAGCGTCCCCCATAAACTACATCGTTGATCCAGCAAAGCCACCTGGGCTCGAACGTTGGCTCCGGAAGCCACAGCTTCATGGGCGGGCCTGGAGCAAGAATTGTTATAAGTCTCTTTGAAAAATAATTGTGGAGTCGCCAAGGGCGATGCATCTGCAAACCCTGCTCTAAGCTAGAATCCGCTAGACTAGACAAGGAGAATAGGCTAAATGCATCTGCGCACCTCTAACGTTGTCAAACCCTGGGCATCCCTTAAACTCAAAGCAACCAGAAGTGCCAGGGCTCGGAAATGGCCAGCATTCTCGCTGGGTGGTGGAGGCGGGGCAGGAGCGGCGCCTTCCCTCAGCTGCTATGAAGCCCAAACTGAACCCTACAGTGCCTGCGCCAGCTCTATTGGGAAGACTTTGAAAGTTGTAGGGGGCGTACTGTGTTATCTGAGCAGTAGAAGTCCCTTCCCGGGCATTCATTACAAAGAATCGTTTGGCGGAACAGTTATGCGTGCTAGGACCTACTAGCTGGGTGTCCTGCCGAGAATCCTACGGTGTTTTGGCAAGGGAGTTTTGCACTTGCCGCCAAACTGAAGTGCTTCTGCACTTCCTTCTGACTGGGTAGCGATGCAGAGAGCATAGCCGCCGAGAAGCCAAACTGCCGACTTTGCGGTCGCCGCGTCCCTGGCGGCTTCTCTCGATGTCTCGGCTAGCCTTCAGGAAGCAAGAAAGCTACTGCTCCCAAGGCCTCACTCAGCTTAAGGCACTAGTCAGCCGGCGCGAGGAGTTTTAGGGGGAATTCGCTTTGCCCATCATGTGTATGGCGGAAAGGCCCCGGAGTCAATGCATTTGCCGCGCATCAAGGCAGAGTTCTCTTCTACAAGCTGACATGCTTTGCCTTTAGATAAAGCTTTTGGCTGCCACAGACCGAAACCTCTCGCCCTGGTATGCCCTTCTGGTTAGGGTCGTACTGTAAGCTCCTAAGTGACTTATAACCCTATATGTGTATACACATACATACGCACATATAATCACATATAGTTATATACATATATACAGATTTAGATATCCCTTGAGGTGGTTAGACCTGGACGACAAGGCCTCGAGGCTTGCTGCGCAAAAGCCGCTGCTTCGGCCCCTACTGCGGCTGCTCTCGCTGCTCTTGCTGCAGGGTCTTCCTGAAACGCGTTAGGGTTTACATGGAGTTTAGGGGTTATAGGCAGTTTATACGGTTTTGGGTTTAGGGGTTAAGGTGTGGGTTCGAAGCATACTATGTACCCGCAAGGAAGAAGGTAAGCTTGGAGGACTCTCGGGGTATCCTGGACTGTCTGACTGCATTCCAGTCTGCAGAATGTAGGGCATTCAAACTACTTTTAGGCTGCGTGTACTACACACTTCACATGGTGTTCATTGGAGACAGGAGCCAACATACAGGGCATTGGAGGACCTTCTCCGCAATGCTACCTTTGTTTTCGACCATCCTTCATTCCATCGAACCCATGTCCAAAAAATCTCACTGATGGGCCAACCCCACACCCGGCAGTGCAGACTACGTATGCAACACCGGAACCGCGCCGGAGTGGCAAACTCCAATGACAAGGCGGAAGTCACTGTAGCAAGACGCATGCTATCAGCCCCAACACAGCTAGACTCAGCTAGACAGCTAGACTGTCCAGACCCGCAGTCAGACGTCACAGCTTCAGACAAACATGATCATCCGTCACATTGAGACTTTCATGTACAACTTGACGCTCAGCCCCAGGCAGGCCGTGGTGGCGGCGGCGGTCTTGGCAAGCCTTCCAACCGCTGCACAGCGAGGTCTTATGCACCAAAGCAGTACTGACATTACGTTCGAGTTGCATCTGCTGTCCGTATGCTGAGCTGTGCCTGTGCCCTAGTAGGTGGTTGCGAGACGGAGCGAACATCGCCAGACATGAGGGAAAGTTTCGTGCCCAACCGAAGTTCCATCTCATGCGTGAAGCTCTTTTGTGAGACCAGAAGGATCTGCAGACCAGTGGCCCAAACAACCACCACAAGGCCCAGGGCCGCAGGGCCCGGGGCCGCAGGGCCCGGGGCCACAGGGTCCAGGTCCGCAGGGTCCTGAAACAGCAGGGGCCAATTCTGGAACTGATGAATCACTCATGACTAGTCTCTCTTAGGTAGATAGAATATGGGGTATATGGGGCTCTTATTATAATATACCCAAAGCCATATTCTAGCTACTGAATGAGGATTATAATTCTAAATCCATGCAAGCAGAGTTGTTAATTCCACATTGATGAGAATTTCTGGTGTGCATCCGAAGGGGACCGTCCTGGCCCGCAAGGCCCACAAGGTCCGCAGGGCCCGCATGGACCACAAGGCCCTGGGCCGGGACCCATGCCACCTGGACCTGTCAATAGCTTGCCACGTGCTTGCAGCTCTTGCTCAAGGATGAGAAAGGCTAGAGGCTGATGAATGTCAGTGGTGCCCCACTGGGAGGGTTGTCTGCAAACTAACACTGCTCACAAGTGTTTACTGTGTAAAAATCAAACCAGCTCATCGAATTGAGCACCAGCAAAGACGCCAGATGCATGATTATGGTGACGGCCATCTTTTCTTCAATCCTCATAGGCCCAAATCACAAAGAAGGCCTTTCGTCCGAGACCAACAGAAGATGCAAGACACAGCTTACACATGCTCACGCCAACATTGTCCGATGCAAGTCATTCACTTTGGATTGACAATTCCTTCCTGCCTCCGGCGGGTGCCTTGTTAGGCGATCGCGAGCGGTCCCGCTGGTCTGAGGGTGCGGACCTTCTATGGAAGATGGCTTATTTTGAGCAGCCAGCGTCTAAGAATGACGCCAACGCTTCGTTGAACCTGATTTGTTGGGTTACCTTCTTTCAGGGTCAGTCAAATGTTGCGGGGGAACCTTGTTTACCATCAACTGTTGTGGGCTGACGCTCTTGGCAAAGGAATTGCTTGAGGGCTTTGCGGGCCAAGAGCTCCCAGTAGTGCCTTGTGAAGTCCTGACAGCAAACCTACCAATGCCACATTATGGTCGAACATTGTGGCTAAGCCCTATTTCTTGAGACCGGGCATCTCGCTGCAGCTCTTAAGACGCTCTGCGTGCAATCTGAGGTTGTGTGAGGATGGCGCAGATCATCTTTGCCATTTCTGGCGCAGGAATGCTCCAACGGTAAATTGAAGATTTCGTCCAACGAGGCAAGCAGAACGGCAAGGGTCAACACAATATGGGTCTGAGCCGCGGTCAACTGGCCCACCAGCAGTGCAGTGCAAGCCAAGTAAGATTATGTTCTGTGTACAAAGTAAAAATCCTATACACGAACGGAGGATATTGTCTTCCTCTACATTTTGGTACCGTGGTATCCGCAAATAAGATACTATATTTTTTTGGCTGAGCTGCGACTCATTGCCACCACAGCCTGGGCCAGTACATCCCATGCAGCCTCCTGAGCTCAGGCATGTCAGGTAAGCAGGGAAGCTTGGGGATCTTCTTTGTGATCGCTCCTCCACCGCAGCCGCCGCAACCGCAGCCACCACAGCAGCCGCCGCCACAGCCGCCGCCGCAGCCGCCGCCGCAGCCGCCGCCGCAGCCGCCGCCGCAGCCACCTCCGCAGCCACCTCCACAGCCGCCACCACCGCAGGCAGGGGGTAAGGGGCCACAGCCTGCCAGCAAGTGCAACAGTTTTATGGCTTCCAAAAAATTAATATCGTGGGGATCGGCGTGCAAATCATGTAACATGGCATGCCCCTCGTAGAATCTACTTTTTATCGGGAAGGCCAAGCTCATGGCGTCCCAAGCATGCAAGTCTCACGCACCCATCTTTGGTTTGACGATCCTGTGAGCTGGGCCCCAGCCCTGCATGGCGCCTGGACCGCAGCCCATGCCGCTGTTTCCGCCAGGACAGCAGCCTGCTAGAAGCTCTGGGCACATGTAGAGGGAACATAACTCTTCATAGCACGGAAGCATCTATCCGATAGCGCAACGCAGCATTGGCCAGTACATCTTGGTCTTAGGAACTCTTCTTCAGGGCTGGCATGTGTTTCTAAGCGAGAGTGGAGAACGGCATGGAAAAAGGGACTTTCGCATCCCGCGATTTCGCACCTGAATAGACACCAAAGAAGTGAATACAACTCTGCAAAACCATTGTTACAAGGGCTGGGTGTCTTGATGAACGAACAGGCTTCCAACTAAATGCCCACCTCCCATGCAGCAGCCGCCTGGAGGACCGCAGTTGCCCCCCGGGCCACAACCGCCGCAACAGGGGCCGCAACCACAGCCACCCCCACAACCTCCTCCACAGTTGCCCCCAGCATTCCCACCACCAGAGCCTGCAGTGCCACCAGCTCCTGGGCCGCTGTTTGCACCGGGGCAGCCGCTACCTGGACAGCCACCCATGGGGCAGCCGCCGCAGCCGCCCATGCCGCCCATCATCATGGGGTTCATCATGCCTCCCATCATCATCATGGGATTCATACCACCTCGGCAGAACAGAGCTCATGCCTCAGAAGCTCCTGTCTTCTTGCTGGTATCGGCTCAAGCTATCTGCTGGCTGCATGCAGCTTCTGGACATATTGCAAACTTGATGTGAAACCCCAAACTCTCTTGAGCCATGTTTCCCATCATCGACATCATTGAGGATGGGTCGATGCCCATTTGCTTGAACATGCCCTCCATCTGCTTCCTCGGGCTCACAGTGCCATAGCAGCTACTCCAACTTCGTATCAACAAATTACACGCCAACAACAACCAGTCGCGAAAAGTCGCAAACTCTTCCATGAGGCTTCATTAAGCAAAGGTTCGGGTCCATGCCCATCTGCTTCATGACTGCCTGGTGGCTCAGTAGCTTGAAGGTGCGACTGGCTTGACGACAGATGCGGGTATGGAAGCTGAGCCAACACTGCGCTCCAGCTTGTCCTGCTTTTGGTAAGCAAGCCCAGCTTGGGAACAAACCTCCTGCAACACAAAACTCTGTTGCTCAAGGTAACGGCTTGCTGATGCGGTTTTCAGAGGTTGGCGAGTGCTGCTGATATGCAGTTCGTGAGGTCTTCAAAGTCACGCGCCCACGAACTACTGCAGTGAAGTCACAGGGTCCATGCCCATCTGCTTCATGAGCTTCTCAAATGGACCTCTAGTCAAGGCGGAATTAAAACATGGAAATGCTGGAATCGTCTTGCTCACACCAGCAAGAGTGACCATGGCATCTTTTGGCCCATGTGGACGGTATTCCCAACTAATTAGTCCTTGCAGCTCCCTACCCGGGTCAGGAACTACCATTAATCAGCTGAATCGAAGACAGGCCAACTTGGCAAGATGGATGAAACTGTTGGCAGAGCCCACTTCTATGACGCTCAAGCGTGCCCTTGCTGAACCCTAGATAACGAGACATAGCACCCCTCCATCATCCTTGCATCCTCAAAATATCAGATGGAATGACCTCGCGCGGAATCTTGTAGAAACCTAAAGCTCTTGGGCAGAATTATTCCAACGACTCGGTAACAATTACTATAGCCCTTCCGAGCCCTATAGAACCCTATGAAATGAGACCCTGCGTCGCCAGCTCCCTTGAAAACAACATGACAAATAATGATGCCATTCATCCTCCTAAGTGGACGTGTTCCACAAAGCATAGCGCTACCAACATGGGAGGATCTATCGTAGGGGGTTGAGTGGGCTTTGTTTGGAAGAGGCGATTAATCATCGACTTCCTGCTGTCGAAACGAGGTGCTCTTCTTGGAGCTGCCTCCACCACCACCTCCTTCCTTCTCACCCCCACCGTCCTTCGGTGATCTGAGTTTTATTGGACTGAGTCTAAGGAGAACTGTCCCTGCCCGTCGCTGTGGGGGTGCTGACGTACCATAGTTCCGCAACTTTCTGAGGACTCTGTGCAAGGCTTTGTTAGGCGCACGTTGGCTTGAAGTTCGGGGCTGGTTTGGGGGACTCACTTGGGAAGCCCTTTTGGCCTAAGCCCCTGTGAAGGTCATGCTTGTGCTAAGCCCTCAAATACGACTCCTCTCCCAATGCACAGGGCATCACATGGAAGGTAAGCAATAGTCTCTCGATCTGAATTGTGCTGCCGCATCGTTACCGCGATGGTAGCCAATGCAAGCAACTTTGGTATCGCTTGACCCTTCGTCCTTCTCGTTCTCAGCTAATTTTGAAGCCATGGCCAAGTATTGCCTGAGTGGCGGAGAGGTGAATAACAGGACCACTCTTCGGTCATGACCAAGTTCACACATGTCATCCAACGCTCTGCTGCAGGGTGACTTCATAATCGACCTCTCAACCAAGTCTGCTTAAGAGGCCAGATTCTGTAAGTTTGGGCACATCATCTCTATCACAACAAATACTGCACACGTTTCTCTCCTTGCCACCTTTTCCAAAACAACTCCGTGCTTTCCAGAAATCTCTTACTTCTTGGCGGGAAGCTCAGACCACTTCTCCGCAAACTCCTCTCCAGCTGGCTCTGCTTCTTCCCTCGGCCCAGTTGGGGCATGGGTGTTGGGGATTGTGCACAAGGCTGCGGGGAATCATGTGTAAGACTCCCGAACTGAGGAATGTCCAAAAGGCAGCTTCTCAAACTAATGTGCCCAGGAGCTCGGGCTCGTCAGGCGCCTGCCCCCAATCAAGTCAAAGCATCTGGACTCTATCTCAAAACCAGTACTGATTTTGGCGCTTGCAGCCAAAGGATAAATCTCTGCGAAGACCAAAGACAACGCCTCCTCACTGCATGACTGCACCGTGTTGTAACGCAAAAGGAATTCAACTGTGCTGCGTTGCAACAGAGGCTGTAGCTCTACAGAAGACTCCACATTCCTTTCCATCTATCCGTCATGTCCTATCTTGTTCTGCAAGGGTGATGATCAGCCTTCTGCATGGAGGTTGTCAACCCAGCCGATGCAGCGATTCCATCGTGGCGCTTGACCTTGCCACAGAGGTTCTTGTCAATGCAGCTTCTACGAGGACTGCATGATAGTTGTAGAGCGACTACTTTGGGGAGGAACCCAGGCAGCTGGACCGAACTAAGCAAGGGCCATAGCGCTCCACCAAGCTTGTCTAAAGTGATGCCAACAAAAAAGCCTTCCCAAGTCATCCGTTTCGTCCAACTCCTCCCGCTGCGCGCACCTCCACCCACTTGTTGTCGATCATGTGCTTCGCATGTGCGTCGATGACCTTCTCAACCGCCTCAGAAAGCAAGGCGAGCAAAAAACTCGCCTCCAAGTTGGTACGTCTTATCTTTATGCAGATTTTTGTTTTCGGCATTTTTCAATGGACCTCTAATTGCTGTAAACTTCAGGAATGTGCAAGTGTGCTGCTCGAGGTGCATCGTGGTCGGAGAACTTTACGAAGGCGAACCCCCGGGAGGTGCCATCTGGGAGCCGCTTAATGTCCACCTGCTCCACCTGAGAAGGTTTCAGCTTCGGGTCAGGATTTAGGTCTCAAAGCCGCCATTGGGCAGATGCAGGTCTTCTGCTTCAGGCCACTGAGAACACACGTGGATGGATACTTCTTCTTCCTCTGACCGGTGTTTTCTCATGTTTGCCAACCGTTTGCATTGCCATGTGTGGTCAACAGAACTGCTTCAACATCGTCCTTGTTCTGGCTATTCTTTCGAGTAGTGTGAGTCACCAAGGAACGAGGGAATGGATCCTCATAGCATGTCCCTGTATGACCCCCAATTTTGCACTACTTACTGTTGTCTTTTCAGTTCCGTAGCAGGGGTAGAATCGAGTAGATGCTATAGTTCGTAGCAGCTGGTTCAGCGCGAGCTTGGGGCTTGCCTGGCCGAACTTGGCAAAGTGCGCCGTGACCTCAAGGCTGCTAGTCGGTTCTAGCCAAGAGGAGATGCGCAGGAGTGCAGCTGAAGGTGCCAATTGCAAGTACAAGGTATCGACAGAGGCTTGGGTGGAATGGAGATTTAGACTCGCAAGCAAAGATGCGGAAGATCTCAGTCAGCATGTTTTACTGCAACTCGCAGACTTGCTCCAGCAACAGCATCTGCAACAACATGTAAAGTTTCCCTATGCCGCGCTACCATAACTCAATTCACCTGTCATGCTACAAAAATGATCATGGTGACAAACCTCAGCTGAGCTGCTCTGTCCTCTTCGGTTGTCTTTCGCAGACCTGCATCTGTTCCCAAGTCACCCGCGATCGCTCTGTACATGGTATTGTGGCTTATAAGAAACTGGGCCCTGTCGCGTGTTTCAAGGGTACATCAACTCTGATACACCTGAACAATGTCCTTAACCTGGCATCCTGCTCCATTCGTAAGCATAAGACCCTTCACTATAGTGCCCCACTCGAAGGTGAGGTATTGGGAGCTAGAGTTTTCATGGCTGGCGCTTCACCGCGACTTGATCACATGCGTGCTGATTTCATGTGCAGATCCCTCGGCTCCGAAGCCCGAAATTTGGGTGTTCATGAGGATATCATACCCCAATAATGGAAAAGAAAATGGAAAATCAAACGGAACAGAAACTGGAAACCCTAGGTCCCTTTGAGAGGGGTATATAGGAGTTTATGGGGATATTATACCCCAATAATGGAGAATCAAATGGAAAAGGAAATGGAAAAGAAAATGGAACCCTAGGTCATCCTAGGTCATTTTCCGGCTTCTTCCTAGTTTGAAGCAATGTAGCATGAGACTAATTCCCAGCTCGGACATCTGCAGCTCCATGGACTTCTGTTGTCCCCAAGGCATTATTCAAAAACGATTCCCTCAAGATAAGGATAGTTTCCCAAAATTAGGGGACCCCAAGATAGACCCCCAAACACTATATCATCCTTATTATGGGGACACCCAAAACCATACACCCCTTTATAATCACAGCTTCCATTTCATTTTCCATTTTCTTCTCCATTTGATTCTCCATTGTTGGGGTATAATATCCCATAAACTCCTATATACCCCTCTCAAAGGGACCTAGGGTTTCCATTTCATGTTCCATGTTCTTTTTCATTTGATTCTCCATTATTGGGGCAACATCCCTATATAACCCCTATAACTCCTATAGTTTCTATTTTTTCCAAAATCCCAACCCCAATGTTTAGGAAGGAAGCCCCCAGGATGCCAGAACTCGGTTTCCCCTTGCCTCCTACGAAGATGACCATGTCGTTGCTCTTCGGCTTCTTCTTCGACTGAAGATGCTTGCAGATCTACTTGGGCATCCACATGTACGTATTAGGCTTCGAGGGCATGGCCATGTTTTTTTCACAACTGCACACAGCACGCATGAAGGGTGCAGCTAGTCTAGTCTTCCCTCAAAATTTGGAAGCTGCTTCTGCATCTTAATCTCGTCGGTAATAGATATACTGGGCTCTGTCCCTTCTTTCTGGATTTTCTGGGGCGCTTGGGCCAAAGAAGGCTGGCTTGGAGGCTGGCCAATCAAGTAAGGGGTGTGATTGTTAGGGCATCGACATGCATCGATTCTGCTCTAGAGGGCGCAAGTACGCGCCCAGCCGAATGGCTATGCCCTAGTCCGCGTGCATGGGGTGATAGGGGCCCTTCCACTAAACGTTCAGAACCTGAAGTTAAGCCTATTCTTGGGCTATTCTGGCTATTCTATGTATGGAACAAATTTCAAGACGAGGCCGGGTGAGGTCGTTATGGTTTACCCAGCCAATACCTCCGGTTGATTCCTCAAGCAAGCGGCAGACTTCTCGCCCTTGCTCTTCTTACTCGAACCAGAGAGGCCCATCATCTGATTCATCATGTCTTGCATCTTCTTCCTCAGAGACCGGCATGAAGGTCTTGTCAACATCATCACAAACTCAGGCCCTAGCCTGCGAAGGTGTATCTAGCGCACCTCTACTATCACATGGTAATGTGCTGATGCTAATCCTTCTCAACCTGACCATGTCCTAGCAAATTCTGCACTGCATCTGCTACGGCCATCTTCTGAATTCACTGGTGCTGATGCATACTGCAGAGAGCGACCGAGCTGCATATCACAGCCGCCACCTCCCATCATCATGGAGTTCATCATCTGCTGCCTTAGGTGTTGTTTGCAATCCATGCGCTTTGGCTAAAGTGCGGGCAGGCTCACATCGTCGTGTTGCAGCAGATTACGATACAACTCCGAGAGGCCGCCTCCCTGCCAAGCACATGTTCGGGTTTTCAGAAAATTGTCCTGACAACATCCTCAGTATGGACACTCATAGCCCCTCCGCTCGGACAAGAGAAATCTTAGAGGTGCCAACCTGGGAGTGTACACAAACCCCCCCAAAAAAACCCAATCCCAAGCACTTTCTGAACTAAATCCTGGAGGGCGGCTGCTGCATCATCATCTGCTGCTGTTGCTGCATCATCATCCTTGAGCACTCTGCCGGAGGCTCTGGCTTGAGTTTCGTTTGCTTGGAGAATGACATGGCGTTGCCTCGCTTCCTTTTCAGTTTTCAACTAGGGTAACTAGGGTAGTGTTACTACTGTTCTCTCCGACGTGTCCCGAGGCCTTTACTTCGCGATTTGTTCCCGAACACTTCTGCCCACTAGGCCACATTTGGGGACTTGAGTTTGCAAGAAACCGGTGTAAACTTTAGCCCAAAACTCCATCTTTTACCTGAATGCAACTCTGGGCGTCTGCTGCTGAGCCATCGGGTTGCAGCCGCCGCCCATGGCCGGGCGCGGCATTCCCATGCCGCAGCCTACGGGGCTTTAGAAAAGCGTTTCGTGACATACATAGATCAATATGTATGCATGCATGCAGGTTGGGGCTTCCAAAAGGACGGGTCTCTTGTTGGGGAGGGGGCTTGCCACAATGAGAATTGTAGATCTGTGGGGTACATAAGGGGAATATGTTCGAAAGATATTGCCATACAAGCTCCTCTGCGAACCAACTATCTACTATACATGCACTTGGGCCCTTTAGGGGCGATTAGTCTGGAGAGGTTTTTTGGGAGGGACAAAGCTGGCGAAAACTTGAATGGCTGGTTTCGCAGTTCTTTAGGAAGGCTATTGGGGTTCTGCATCGATGCGAAGGCGAGTATCTTAAGCAATGAAACTAACCCCAAGCATTTCCCGTTCGTTCGTGTTCCGAGACAGGGAGAACGAAGCAAGCACATGATCGGCCAACAAAGCCGTGGTCTGTTTTGGGGCCGCACACCGAAGGAACACGCACCCAAGGCGAGACAAGCTACAATCACTTGTCATACCCCATGCCAAGGAAGAAACCGCTGAGCGGACACGTGGTTGCTTCACAACTGAGAGCCTCGGATACCAACTAGCTTGCCAGGTTTTGCAGCAACGCCACCCTGAGAACTCCACAAAAAAGCAGCTCAGTGCTTTCGAGGCACCCTGCATCATGGGGTTCATGGCCATGCCTCCTGCGAGTCTTGCTTGTGGGTAGGCTCTTCTTGCTTCAAGCCCAGTCGAGCTTGGGAAGTTGCTAGAAGAGGCACATGACCAGCAAACTCCAAACAGTTTAGGGCTTAGGGCTTTGGATATAAGCGTTTATTTTTTCGTGGGTGTGCCTGGTTGTCTAGAGCTCATGGACATCTATAGACCTCTAAGCAGTGATCACCAATTGCTTATGCGGAGAACCTTTACGGCGTCTGGTTGGAAGGCAGATCTCTGTGTAGCAGCACCAGCATCATGACGATTCGTCGGCATCGTTGCACCGCATTCCATCTCTTATGTCCACTCTGGTTTTTACCAATAGTGTCAAATTACCGCTCTTTTTGCAGTAGCGATCTTCCTTATGACTGACCTGATTGTTCAGGTAACATCACGCTTCAAAGTCGAAGGGCCTTAGGCGGGATTCCCCCTTGACCTTCAGCAACATGTGCAACTTTGTTGGAAAGGTACATTGACGAGCCTAGTATTGCCCTCATCTGTCAAGCTCACAGGTCAGCCAGGGCTTGGCCCAACCGGTATGCTTCCTACTGTCTCAAGGGCTCTCTTGTGTCACTTCACATGTAAAGCATCAGGCTCCGTCGGCATCGTCACCCTAATTCTTGTCATTTCGGGACGAGGCAACTCCGAAGAAAAACAACTGCACAAGCTCTCATCCTCAGACAAATTGGTGAAGCTCTACCGACCCTCCGGTTCACTATGTGCGCCAACAAATCACTTGGGAAGATACCTAGTCCCCACTCGCAAGACCAAGTCCAGTTTGAAAGGAAGCAGCAAGAAGTCCTACTATAGTCCCCCTTAGATAGATAGAATATGGGGTATGTGGGGATTTTTATTTTAGTATACCCAAAGCCATATTCTATTAAGGAGGGCTATAAGTTTGGCATGACCTTTCATGCATCCCCTGTGAGCTTTGCTGCTTCTCTTCCTCTGCCTGTGCAATCCTCGTTCATCCGCCCATGGAACAATGAATCCCGTGGTAGCCCGGTATAACCCCTACTAGCATAATAGTTTGCAACCTGTGTCCCATCCCTTATGTTTCCCTACAAAACAATAAATGACATCATACAACCCGAGTGTCCATCTCAAATTCTTTTCCCTTCCTCCATCCCCAACGACCAGCAAGTTAAGCCTAAATCTTCAACTCTAAATCTTCAGAAAAGTCATCCATTTCATTTTCCATTCCTGCCCCAACCAGCAAGTTAGTGGACCCCAAGGCCTCAGCTCTCTCCCCTTCAGCGCATGGCCAATAACTACAGCTTGGAGCCACAGCTGCGGAAGATGAGCTGTTTCTTCATGACACTGGCTTCTCGTAACATGGGTGCCCTCAGTGGGGAATACACAGGCGGATTTCAAAAAGCGCGCATACTCGATGCGGGGTTGAGATTTAGGGTCGTAGTACTTGCCCTACTACCACTTGCATCTAATAACGCTTGCTGGTGCACTTCCAGTGCGAAGACAACTCTGATTGCAACCTGTTCTTGCAACCTATTGATCCCTTTGCTCACTTAGGCCAACGAAAGAAGGCTTCGAAGCTTGGACCACAACGAAGACCCAGGTCTTGAAGCTGCCGAGCAGTCACAAGTAGATGCAAGATGCTCAGTAGCAGTATTATCCTTCCTAGGCATTTTCAGTTTACGGCACGTACCCCAGCTTCACTGGACATGTGGTGCCTCTACTTCAGGACGACTGCCCTACTTGCTCTTGGCGTTTTTCTGTTGGCTTGCTACATCTTTAACTTCAATTTCACGCTTTAAGTAGCAGGAAAGGGACAGAAGAACTCGCCCTTGTCACGCGGAATCTCTGCTGAAAGTGCACAGAGTGGGCAGGATCCGAGAGAGCTGCCATTTTGAGTCAGATGTTTAGCGTGCTGACATCACAACAGAGATGACACACCTGTCCTACCACCTCGCACGCAAGTCTCCCTTGCCACAAGTTAGCGGGACGCGGCAGGTAGATGGAGGCTCCCAAAAGGCCTGCACCCAGTAGACAATCCATGGGCGTTCCCAGAAACCATATCCCCTTTTGAGAAGACCTAAGCCATGCAAACAAGTATTTGGGGTAAAATGTAATATCCCTATTGCTTCAAAGGGCGAAACTTGCCAAAGGAAGCTCGAAGTCTCGGATACCCTGGAGCTGTCTCAAATCCACCTGGCACCGCTTAGCTGTCCATCAACGTCTGGTAGATAAAGTCCCGAAGGGAGTTGACCTCACCGTATGCAAGCTGCCAGCGAAGCTTATCTACACCGCATGTCCAGCTGTTGCAACTTCGATTTGTGTTCGGGCGGCAGATTACATCATGGTCTCAGTTGCTCAAGGAATCCCTGCATTGTGCATGGTTCAGGCTGGGACGACCTCTGCATGCAATCTCTGGCAACGCTAGGAGGGTGATCCTTGTAGCAAGCATCATCCTGCTATTCCGTAAGCTTCCGGAACCCGATTTCAACACCTCTGCTGCGCCAATGCAATCTCTCGACTTTGACTGGTCGTTTGCTTTTGGTGTTTTGCATAAACAGAATCCGAATAATATACGCGGTGTGTCTATTTTTCTCTTATACCCGCATTTGCACAATCCGTATGGCATCCTCTACATCTTCTGTGCTAACATGCAAGACGAAGTTCCTCTTGAAAGCCAAGATCCCATCATCCATATATTCCAGGACAAAGAAAACCCCATCGAATCCCCGTCCAAAGTCAGTTTTTCTAACTTGGCAAAGCACGAACCTTCAATACAGGGAGTCCTCCAATCAAATATTTCAAGCAAACACATGAGACTCATGGACTGTCCGCAGGGGAGCTGCATCTCCATCTGAGAGGCCGGCCGTAGGATAATCGAACAGCAGAGCGCCCGGGAGGCTGATTCCGGGGAACTCCTAGCGACAGTCGGTGATAATCTTCTCGATGCTATAAGCGTCCCAAGGGATCTGTAGGAGTCATTCGAGAATTCTAGGGTCTGATTATGCTGGTCGTTGTAGAACATTTAATCATTTACCTTGCTTTCAGATGCAAAAGCTATATGGCATTGAGGTATGTCTGAAGCCGCGTCTTGAAACCTGAAACCTACATGACAAGGGCATGCTAAGAGAAGAGGATGCCGCAATGACAGCCCCAACAACGAAAATCATCAAATCAAAATCCAAGCAGCAGCGTGTT